AAGTCGTTAGCTTTTTTCTTTACCATATTTTGATTCAGTTTTGTTTTTATTTTCTTGAAGGTAGTACATGTATCAGTTATTTTCTATCAAGAATTATTACCTTTACTACGATGATACTCTCAACACCATCTCTTTCTCACGACTGTGTTGTACTTTCTTTCATTTCTAAAACTTAAGAAATGAAATGAACGCGCCTGTCATCTAAATAATTCCCCCTTTTTCCGGTGGTGTTTGTTGGGTCTTGCTTCTTGTAGTTTTTGTTAAAAGTTAAAAGGCTAATATTCCTGTAATGCGATGGCCGTTATTATCATCAGTCGTCAGAAACAACAGCAACAACAACAGCATTAAGAATCGTCTTGTTAAATTGTAACGTGTAAAGGCACTGTGCATTCCTGTCAATGGTTGATTTAATCAAAAGCGTACTGCCACAAATCTTTTCTAACAAATCTTTTCACGGAGTAAATTCTACATCTGTATCCTTAAACACTCGAAACACGATGTATTTTGTAAACGTCGCTGTGACGTTGATGGATATGGGTTGAGAGTTTTCTTTCTACCAGGAATAATCGTCCTTTAGCCCCCCTAAAAAGTAATATTATGGTTTTCTTCGGTGATTGTTCCAATGTAGGAGAGGTTTTACGGGGCTCGCAACTGCATAAGGTAATATGAACGCCAAGGGGTGGGTGTCAACGGAGAAGCCCTTACACTACAGGGAATCGGGGTTACTCTTCTCACCTCTCTAGCTTCAACAGCACAAAGTCTGCTTCGACTGCCAAGCCACCCCGGAAATAGCGGGTCAAAAAAGTGTGACAAACATGCAAAAGAAGTAGAGGAAAAATGATGATAGTAAGGATTAGGAAAGAAAAAGTAGCAGTTCCCAGTTGCAGTTCAGGCACAGTTATGAGCCTGACATTGATGAATCAGCCCATTTACAATTACAATTCTACTGTGCATAAGAACATGGTTAATGCCCCCCTTTGGGTATAGCCTAAAAAAACTTCAGTCAGTAGCGCTGCCCCAGGGGTCTGTTGTTTTTTATGCTACCGAGGGTTTAATTGAGATTTAAAAAAAATGATTTTATACTTTAAAAAAAAAGGTTCCACTGAGTTTGAATTATAAGCACGTTTACATCTAATGCTTTCAACGGCGAGGAGGAGGAGGAGGATGAGGAGGAGGAGGATGAGGAGGATGAGGAGGAGGAGG